ATTTTTAGGCACTGTGTTTGTTTCAAGTTTGAAAAACATGAAGAAAGACATTCCTGAATAAACATCTCAATAGGGAAAAATCAATTTTCTAACCTGCTAGTACTGATAAAATCATCGAATCAACACCAAAGTGAAAACATGTCACACCCACGTTGCTATCAGGAAATGGGTCCCAATTAATGGGTAACAAATACATTTTAACAAATATATTTGCTGTCTGGAAGCATGGCTCTGCTTCTCTGCAATTTTTGAGATTTCACATCCCAAATTAAAAAGCCATTGGATCGGTACACAGTTTTGTTTGGGGAGTGCCAGACCATCATGACTTTGGTTTGGTACACAGATTCTTCAGATGGGCGGGTCCAACCTCTCCTTTTGCAATTCTGCCAAATGCACCATGTTCACCAGCCACACCAAAATACTTTCAATACCTGAACTTACCCTGTTGTTTCACACCTTGACAGTTTAGGTCCCTTCTGCCTACGGTGTCTTTTGGAACTAAGAGGCAGACCCCTTGTTCTTCCACGTGTACATCATTGAATAAATATTGGCTTGTGCTATTTTAATGACATGATTGTGCTGACATGTGTAGGGTATGCATGGTCTCCACTAAAGTGAGGATTCCTGACCACAGACATCTGGGTAGGAGGCTGATGTTTCCGAGAGGAAACAGAACTCAGAAGACTGAGGGAAGAGGTATCAACTCTGGATTCCATTTGAGGTTTGAATGAGGAAGGATATGTGAGGATGCTCCTTTGAGTTGTGGGTGTAAAATGGTCTTTGCCTTTAGAAAGCTGTGAGGAGTAGTCAGGGAATTATCTGCTTAATGAACTTCGAGGTAATGATTGATGGCCTGTAGCTTGTAAGCCACCTCGAGATCTGTGTCCCCTCTCAGTGTTTATTTCCCTTTTGTTATATTATACCTTGGCGCCATAATGGAATGTTTGTGTTCCTCCTCCCCACCAAAAAATTCACAGGTTAAATCCTAACACCCAATGTAATGGTATCTGGGGGTGGGGCCTTTGTAAGGTGATTAGTTCATAAGGGCAGAGTCCTCATGAGTGGGATTAGTGCCCCTATAAAAGAGACCCCAGAGAGGTCCCTCGCCCCTTCCCACATGTGAGGACATAGTGAGAAGATGACCTTCTATGTATGAACCATGAAGTGGGCCTTCACCATCCACCAAATTTGCCTTGATCTTGGACTTCCCAGCCTCCAGAAGTGTGACACATAAACTTCTGTTGTTTATAAGCCACTCAATCTATCACATTCTGTTCTAGCAGCTGGAATGAACTAATACATTTGGCCTTTGGGAAATTCTTCTAGCCCAGCTTCATTTATGCTCTAGCAGCAAAGGAAAAAGTCCTCTGTTTGCTCTTAGGAAGGAAGAACAATGAATTAATAAGATAGATCCAGTAGGAAGAGAATAGATTAATAAGATAGATCTAAATGGGTAAATTTATCATTAGTGGAGTTTTATAAAATGTGGCTGCTACATTGGTTCTAAGAGTTACCTTGAATACAGGTCTGTAAGTACAGCAAAATGGTTTGTGACATTTTCCTAATGGCCTCAAAGTAAATACTAGGGTTGTCATCTAAGTATGCTGCAGTTTTAATTATATGCCTGACAGTAAAAGTTATTTCTTTTTTGTTGTACTGCAGGAAAAGCCTATGCATAGATTAGTGCCCGATGAACACCAGTTAAAAGTAGTAAGATTCCCAGGGCAAACTCATAAAGAGCCAGGGTAATGAGCCTCTGTGGTTAACCCAACCTCTCTCTTTCGTGGCTGAGGCATTTCAACATTCCCTTTATGACCAGCACATTCATTAACCAGTAGAGCAAGCAAACAGGTCGCAAGAGACTGGACAGCCAAGTGTGTTCAATTCTGGAGAGTCCCCTTTGGGACCATTCAAATTTCTGAAGCTTATGACCAACTGGGGTAGCTTTACATTGCAGAAGCCCTGCTCAACTTTGCTCAGAGAAGGTGCCCAGATGTCCTGCCCCCTTTACCCTTCTAAAGCTGAAGCTGTGAAGGACTGAGAGGCTCTGAGCTGTTTGACACTGAACGCCAGGTCTTATATGGTCTTTGTACTCTCAGTGCCTGGCAAAGAAATGCTTTAGAACTGAACTGACCAGGTACCCTTGGGGCTGACATAAATCATGGCAGATCCTAGATTCACATGAGCATTGAATTGAAGTGGAACAACTTGAACTACCGAATCTGTGTAGCTTGAAATCATCTTGGTAAGCTTACATTACACACAGGATCTGCACCATCAGAAGATACTAAACAGTTGGATTTTAATGAAGACACAGTAACCCATGGCGTGGCAAGTGGTTGCTAAATATTTTAAGTGTATTTTTAAATAGGAAAATTCCTTCATAGGTTTGTAGGAAAAAGAAATCCCAGCCCAAGTGAGTTTTCTACCATGGGAAAAAGGTTAAAAGGCAGTACAAAAAAAAAAAAAGAAAACAGAGGATGATTGACTAATTTCAGAAAGCAGATGTTGTAAACAATGACATGCTAACCACCAAAGTGCAAAACAGGTATGACTGCCTTCATATAGATTATCTTAAGCATTGTTTTAATTTCATCATGCTGAAAAGAAAGGCATGTTTTCTTCTGTCCCAAGTTACAAATCCTTTCTCTTTTTTTTTTTTTTTTTTTGAGACGAAGTCTCACTCTGTCGCCCAGGCTGGAGTGCAGTGGCACAATCTTGGCTCACTGCAACCTCTGCCTCCCAGGTTCAGGCAATTCTCCTGCCTTAGCCTCCTGAGTAGCTGGGATTACAGGCATGTGCCACCACGCCCAGCTAATTTTTGTATTTTTAGTAGAGACGAGGTTTCTCCATGTTGGTCAGGCTAGTCTCACACTCCTGACCTTGTGATCCACCCACCTCGGCCTCCCAAAGTGCTGTGATTATAGGCGTGAGCCACTGCGCCCGGCCACAAACCCTTTCTCTTGAAAAATATTAATTGATCTCCCTTCTTTGTCTAATTATATATCAAGTTCCCACAAAAAGTTAGTCTTCTTCTTCTTCTTTTTTTAAATTGCCCAGGCTGGAATGCAGTGGCATGATCTGGGCTCACTGTAATTTCTGCCTCCTGGGTTCAAGCCATTCTCCTGCCTCAGCCTCCTGAGTAGCTGGGAATACAAGCACCACCCACCAAGCCCAGCTAATTTTTGTATTTTCAGTAGAGATGGGGTTTCACCATGTTGGCCAGGCTGGCTTCGAACTCCTGACCTCAGGTGATCCACCCGCCTTGGCCTCCCAAAGTGCTGGGATTACAGTTATGAGCTACCATGCCCAGTCAAAAAGTAAGTCTTTTAAACAGCACTCAAAATATGATTCAGTGAGTATCTACCTGAGGAAAAAAGATGCACAACTGTCTTCTATAAAGGACGGAGCATGATATGGTACTAACATTAGTTCCTTTGCACTTGATTTTCTTCCCCTAATCACCACCTCACCATTATTTCTCTGACTAATTGCTGGACCAGTGTGCTGCCTCAGTTTTCTCCGTAATAATACTGTCCATTCTTACAGGGTACTGCCAACTGCCCTAACCCAATGGTTTCTAATAATTGTTTACGTGAATAGCTCAGGGAGAGATTCCCTAATAAAAGTTCTAGAGTCACACTGGAGCCTACTCCATGCTCTATGTCTTAGCAGCTGTGTGCCCTCAAGCCAGTTACTTAACTTGTGCCTCAATCTCCTCATTTGGAAAATGGAACAGTACTATCTGCCTCTTAGGCTTGTTGCAATGATTAAGACTCTTAACTAGAACTCCCAGAACAGTGCCTGGCACAAAGAAAGAGCTCAATAAGTATTCACTCAGTATTGTCCTCCAAAGTTACTATCCTCATTTTATAGCTGAGTGGATAGAGGCCCAGGGAGGTTGAATGACTTGCCCGCTGTGTTTTAGCTATTTGGTGGACACTCAGGCCCAAGTGTGCTGGCTGAGACAGGGTGCTTGCCTGGGTTACTTACCTTTAGGTGAGTGGGAAATGCTCCTAAGTACAGTGTTGTGGGAAGAAAGGACTATATGACCATGATCAGTTTTGCACATTAAAGATTGGAGCTTCTAAGGAGAGATATAAGAAAGTCAATGAGGTAGACTCAAGTATTATTCTTCTTTTAAGCTTTTCCTGGTGGAACTGTTCACAGTCATATTCATGTGACAAATAGTTACTGGTGCCTACTATGGGCTAGGAGTAGAATCTATGATAGGCATGGGGGTACAGCTGAGGATAGAAATAGACACAAGGGCTGGGCACAGGTGGTTCACACCTGTAATCCTAGCATTCTGGGAGGCTGAGGTGGGCAGATCACCTGAGGTCAGGAGTTTGAGACCAGCCTGGCCAACATGGTGAAATGCCATCTCTACTAAAAATATACAAATTAGCCAGGTGTAGTGGCAGATGCCTCTAGTACCAGCTACTTGGGAGGCTGAGGCAGGAGAACTGCTTGAACCAGAGAGACCTAGGCTGCAGTGAGCCAAGATCATGCCTCTGCACTCCAGCCTAGGTGACTGAGTGAGACTCCATCTCAAAAAAAAAAAGAAGAAAAAGAAAAGAAAAGAAGGCCCTACTCCCATCATGGAGGAGATATTTGATATTTTCTGAGTCTGGGGCCCAACCCTTCAATATAGACTTTCTCTGCCAGGTACCTGCACATTTATATGGATGAGCAATACATAAGTCATGCAGAAAAATTGGTGTTATCGCCACACCTCAGTAAGTAAATCTATGTGCTTAAACATGTTTTTCAGTATTTTGCTGTTGGTGCTTTACAGCAAGTAAGACTTTAACATAGAGACTATTTAAAAAAAATAAATCTATTGAAGTTTACCCATTAAAGAGAATATGCAACTTTAAAGTCATTTACATAGGAGGGTTTATGACTATTCTCATGATACTCCTTAGCTCATGGCATTTGAGGGATGCTTTCTTTCAGCTATATTTATCTTCAGAGGTAGTTTAGAAACATACAAAAAATTCAACCTCATTTTTTTAATAGTGACATCTTGTTTTTGCTCAACATAGCATTTTCCAGGTTGATCACCCAAACTTGCAGAAAGTGGCTTTGAATGCTTTTAAAAATAAAATTCATTTCCCCAAGATGAAAGTTTGCCACTCAATGGAATATTCTGACCAGTGTGTGCCAGGCTGTACCTGCAACTGAAAAAAGGGAGCTTGCGAAATTCATTGTTGTGAGATATTTGTGTGTAGCCTCCCATAATGACTATTGTTAATTTGTATAAGCCAGCCCCATTGTTTGTTAGAAAACCAGTCCTACTACTTTATGTCATCTCTTAGATTATATAAAGTTCTTCCCTTCCCTTTTAGAAAATAAACTGTTTGGGCCGAGCATGGTGGCTTACACCTGTAATCCTAGCACTTTAGGAGGCTGAGGTGGGAGGTCAGAAGTTCAAGACCAGCCTGAACAATATGGTGAAACCCCGTCTCTACTAAAAATACAAAATTAGCTGGGAGGCTAGACAGGAGAATTTCCTGAACCCAGGAGGTGGGGGTTGCAGCGAGCTGAGATGGCACCAACTGCACTCCTGCCTGAGACGGAGCAAGACTCTGTCTCAAAACAAACAAACAAACAAACAAACAAACAAACTAAACTCTTTGAGTGGGTACCTAATGTTCTTCACATGATATAACCTCCAAAACATCTCAGTTGGTGGGAATGATCATCACAGTAACTGGAAAAGTAGATTCTAATGTGGGTTGAAATCTTGACTACTTGATATCATGCCTCAGAAGGGAAAATAAAAAAGAAAGAACAAGGTTAAAGTCAAACTATTTGGGACCACTAAAGTACTGAAAAGAATAGCTATTGGAAATTCCAAGCTCAATCAGTACGTATTTCTTAAATATCAACAATTTATTCCTCAAATCATTTTCAAAACTAGTACTTCTTTTTATCCTCCTAGAGGCAATGCAATTCTTCCATTAATATCTTCATGACTTGAAATTTTCAGAATAAAAGTCAACAAGATAAAAGTGTAAGAAAAGGCAGATACTACCCAAGGCTGTGTCACAGGCATGTCCTTAATCTTGGTAAAATACAATTTCTAAATTGATTAAGATCTGTCTCAGATACTTTTGGGTTCACAGAATGATATTAAGAAAATAACAGGATTGGGGGAAGACAGCCGACTAGGAACAGCTCAGGATTGCAGCTCCCAGTGAAAGTGCAGAGGGTGAGTGGACGCCGCATTTCCAGACGGATTTCTATTGCCCACAGACCAGGAGAATCCCAGGCGGAGGAGCCCCAAGGGTCGCCAGCGCGGCTGTTTCAGCCTGCACGGCTGCTTTGCCGGCGCCCTGGCGCGGCGGTTCCCTGTACAAAAGACACTGGTCCAGGTGCCCTCTTAGCTGGTGATTGGAGCCCTGAGATGGCAGAGTTGCCCATTCATCTGAAATAGTGAGCCAGGCCAGAAGATTCCTAGGCAAAAAAACCCGCCAGGAATCTCAGTGCCGCTGTTTCAGCCGGCTCAGTGAGTCGCGGCATTGGAGATCCTGGCGCCTTTTCAACAGGTGACTGGAACACTGGGACAGTCGGCTGTTCAATAACAACAACACAAAAAGACTCTAAGTCAGGGAGCCAGGTGATCAGGCTCCCACCCCCCACCCCACAGAAAAAAAACCAGTAATTGAAAATGCTCTGGGTTGAGAGTTTCACAGCAAGCACAGCTGAACCCGGAATGGTCCGGCTCTGTGGGGGAGAGGTGTCCGCCATTACTGAGACACTCCACCACTATGGAGGCAGTCTGACCATCACTGAGGCAGCCCGCTGTTGCCAAGGCAACCTGCCACTACAGAGAGAGTCCGCCATAACAGAGGCGGGCCACCATTGCCAAGGCAGTTCTAACTACACCCATATAAACAGGACTGCAGGGAAGATCACATGGCAGCTGGGCAGAGCCCACAGCAGCTCAGCAAAGCCTCTGCAGGCAGACGGTGACTAGGCTGCCTCCTCACTGGGCAGGGCAGCCCTGACAGGAAAAAAAAAAAGGCAGCAGCACAACGGAAACTCATAAATAAAGCCCTAACTCCCTGGGACAGAACACCTGGGGAAAAAAAACAAAGGGAGTTTATGAGTTCTGCTGCAGCAGACCTAAATATACCTGCCCAGCAACTCTGGATGAACAATGGAGCTCACAGCTCAGGACCTAAGCTCCAATAAAGGACCAACTATCTCCTCAAGCAGCTCCCTGACCCCCATATATCCAAAGAGTCACCTCATAAAGGAGTGAACGGACTGACATTTGGCGGGCATCCTACTGGGACAAAGATACCAGAAGAGGAAACTGGTAGCAACCCTTACTGTTCTGCAGCTGCTGCAGGTGATCCCCCGGCAAGCAGGGCCTGGAGTGGACCTCAGCAGTCCTACAGCAGAGGGGCCAGACTGTTAGAAGGAAAGCTAAGAAGAAGAAGTAACTTCAGCATCCACAAACTGGAAGTTCACTCAGAGACCCAATCTGAAAGTCAGTAACTACAAAGACAACAGGTGGATAAATCCACAAAGATGGGAAGAAGCCAGCGCAAAAAGGATGAAAACACCCGAAACCAGAACACCTGTCCTCCGAAAAGGGATCACAACCCCTCACCAGCAAGGGAACAAGGCTGGATGGAGAAGGAGTGTGATGAAATGACAGAATCAGACTTCAGAAGGTGGGTAATAAGAAACTACAGTGAGCTAAAAGAACATGTTCTAACCCAATGCAAAGAAACTAAGAACCTTGAAAAAAGATTTGATGAAATGCTAACGAGAATGGACAACATAGAGAGGAATATAAGTGAATTGATGGAGCTGAAAAACACAACACGAGAACTTGGAGAAGCGTGCACAAGTTTCAACAGCCGAACTGACCAAGCAGAAGAAAGGATATCAGAGGTCGACGATCAACTCAATGAAATAAAATGAGAAGGCAAGAATAGAGAAAAAAGGGTAAAAATGAATGAACAAAGTCTCCAAGAAATGTGGGACTATGTGAAAAGACCTAATCTACATTTGATAGGTGTACCTGAATGTGACGAAGAGAATGAATCCAAGCTGGAAAATACTCTTCAGGACATTATCCAGAAAAACTTCCCCAACATAGCAAGGCAGGCCAATATTCAAGTCCAGTAAATACAGAGAACACCACAAAGATATTCCTTAAGAAGAGCAACCCCAAGGCACATAATCATCAGATTCACCAGGGTTGAAATGAAGGAGAAATTGCTAAGGGCAGCCAGGGAGAAAGGTCGGGTTACCCACAAAGGGAAGCCCATCAGACTCACAGCAGACCTCTCAGCAGAAACCGTACAAGCCAGAAGAGAGTGGGGGCCAATATTCAACATCCTTAAAGAAAAGAACTTTCAACCCAGAATCTCCTATCCAGCCAAACTAAGCTTCATAAGTGAAGGAAAAATAAAATCCTTTGCGAACAAGCAAGTACTCAGAGATTTCATCACCACCAGACCTGCTTTACAAGAGCTCCTGAAAGAGGCTCTACACATATAAAAGGGACAACGAGTACCAGCCACTCCAAAAACATACCAAATGGTAAAGAGCATCAACACAATCAAGAATCTTCATCAACTAATGAGCAAAACAGCCAGCTAGCATCAAAATGGCAGTATCAAATTCACACATAACAATATTATCCCTAAATGTAAATGGACTAAATTCCCCAATCAAAAGACACAGACTGGCAAATTGGATAAAAAGCCAAAACCCATCGGTGTGCTGTATCCAGGAAACCCATCTCACATGCAAGGATACACAAAGGCTAAAATAAAGGGATGGAGGAAGATTTACCAAGCAAATGGAGAGCAAAAAAAAAGCAGGAGTTGCAATTCTCATCTCTGATAAAATAGATTTTAAAGCAACAAAGATCAAAAGAGACAAAGAAGGGCATTACATAATGGTAACAGGATCAATGCAACAAGAAGAGCTAACGATCTTAAATATATTTGCACCCAATACAGGAGCACCCAGATACATAAGGCAAGTTCTTAATGACTTACAAAGAGACTTAGCTTCCCACACAATAATAGTGGGAGACTTTAACACCCCATTGTCAATGTTAGACAGATCAACCAGACAGAAAATTAACAAGGATATCCAGGACCTGAACTCAGACCTGCAACAAGCAAACCTAATAGACATTTACAGAACTCTCCACCCCAAATCCATTCTTCTCAGCACCATATCACACCTACTCTAAAATTGACCACATAATCGGAAATAAATCACTCCTCAGCAAATGCAAAAGAACGGAAATCATAACAAACAGTCTCTCAGACCACAGTGCAATCGAGTTAGAACTCAGAATGCAGACACTAACTCAGAACCGCACAGCTTCACGGAAACTGAACAACTGGCTCTTGAATGTTGACTGGATAAACAATGAAATGAAGGCAGAAATAAAGATGTTCTTCGAAACCAATGAGAATGAAGACACAACATACTAGAATCTCTGGGACACATTCAAAGCAGTCTCTAGAGGAAAATATATAGCAATAAGTGCCCACATGAGAAGCAAAGAGAGATGTAAAATTGAAAGCCTAGCATCAAAATTGAAAGAGCTAGAGAAACAAGATCAAAAAAGCTCAAAACCTAGCAGAAGACAAGAAGTAACTAAGATCAGAGCAGAACTGAAGGAGATAGAGACACAAAAAACCCTTCAAAAAATCAATAAATCCAGGAGCTGGTTTTTTGAAAAGATCAACAAAATAGACAGACCACTAGCCAGATTAATGAAAAAGAAAAGAGAGAATAACCAAATTGATGCAATAAAAAACGATAAAGGGGATATCACCACAGATTCCACAGAAATTCAAACCATTATCAGAGATTATTACAAACAACTCTATGCACATAAACTAATAAACCTGGAAGAAATGGATAAATTCCTGGACACTTGCCTCCTCCCAAGCGTAAACCAGGAAGAAGTTGAAACCCTGAATAGACCAATAACAAGGTCTGAAGTTGAGGCAGCAATTAAGAGCCTACCACCCAAAAAAAGCCCAGGTTCAGAGGGGTTCACAGCCGAATTCTACCAGACATACAAAGAGGAGCTGGTACCATTCCTTCTTTATTCCAAATAATCCAAGAAGAGGGAATCCTTCCCAAATCATTTTATGAGACAAACATCATCCTGATACCAAAACCCGGC